TTTTTGAAAGCATGTGATATTTACAAAAGAGCAGAATAAAACTTAAGGATCTGATAGACATTACTCTGTTAGTCTTAGAACTATCTTTGAGATAAAATGGAGAAGCAAAGGACAAATATTTATTGAGGGCCTGCTGTATAAAAAGAACTGGACTGGGAAATTTACATGGGTCATCATCTTTAGTCCTCACAAACCCCATAAATTGGGTATCCTTATGTCCATTTGAAAGATAACAAAGCTTCAGCTAGCCGAGATAAGTAATTAGCCAAAAGAGACACAGAGGAAAAATGAAAGAAACCAGGACTCGAACCCAGCTCTGTGGCTTTAAAACTCAGGCTCTGAGTAGCTTACAGTGAGTAAACAACCCACATGGCAACATAGGAATTGCTTAAATAAAGTGTAGTGTACCCACACAAAGCAGTCATGGCAAATGATGCTATAGACCTATTTTTATTGACATGAAAAAATATTAGCATGTAAACATCAAGTAAAAAGAGCAGATTATAAAAATAGAACATACTATGTAATCCCTTTTGAAATACACATATAATTTATATGTATATTTGCATTTAAAAATTATCATGGGGGTGATAGGATTTGAAGTATGTTTCTTCTTGTTATTTACTTATAGTTGCTATACAATTAGCTTGTAATACTTAGATGGTTGAATGAATGGGTAGATAGATGTATAGATACATACTTGGATATAGAATATATATAGATAGAATTTAAAGATCTAGTGTTTAAAAAATAAGATTTGTCAGCATATCTGATATTTGAAAAGCTCGTTTATATACTTTAAGAATGCTCATCTGCAACATACTTGCAGAGTTCATAAAAACACATCTACAAGTGTATCTGTATATCAATATCTATACGCTTATATTATTTTCTCACTATCTATATATAAATGTACAAACATAGAGAATGATACAATATCTAAATTTTTATAGAGAGAACAAAAGAATATAATGATAAAGCAAATACAGGAAAATGATAATGATCAGGGAATTGGGGTAAAGTGTATATTAGAGTTCCTTGTGCTATTCTTGCAACTTTTCTGTAAATGTGAACTACCTCAAAATTTAAAAGTTTAAAGAACCAATGTACATTTTACATTTCCAACACATAGGTAACCTGGTACAAGATGATGCCAATTTAAAAAGTGACACTACTCCACCACTTGGTCTCCTTGTCCACACTTGAAGCAAGAGCCTGTGATCCATTTTTTAATTCACCTTTTACAGTCCTTGTCACAGAACAGCTCATGGATTATTTGGCTGTGCCTTTCCCAGAGCACAGAAATATATGGAAGCCTCCCATTTTGTTTCACAGGGCCAGCATGATCTTGAGAACAGAATATGACAAACCTAGCACACAAAAATCCATCAACCAACATGAATCTTAAATACAGACACAATATATAATACAAATACTAGCTTATGCAAGTCCAGGAATGCCTTAAAAGAAAAGAATAGGTAGGGTTTATTTCACGATTATAAGGTAAATTCAGCATAAGAAAATCTAGAGAAGTTAAAAGAGATACTCCATTTGAGTCTCTTGATAAATAGTGAAGAGAGGTTTTTCTTTAGTAACTCCTTTCTGCAAACTTAAACTAACAGAACATAATAGAGAAGACTGCCTATTACAAACAAAAAAGAAATCTATTTGGGGGGAACACTAGAGACATTAGCACCCAAGCTAGGAATAAGAAAAACATACCCATTATTATTGCAATTATTCAACACTGTTCTGGAGGCTCCAGCCAATACAGTAAAGGGAAATTATAATTATTTCTTAATTTCATGATAACTTATTTAAAAAATGCCAAAGAAGCCACCAAAACCTATTAATTCATAAGGCAGTTTTAATCAGATCCCATATAGCTATATCGAAGCTTTGTGCCAAACATCAGGAGTTCGCAAACTTTTTCCATAAGGGTCAGAGAGTAAGTATTTTAGGGTTTGTAGGCCACGAGAATTCTGTAGCAACTATTCAACTCTGCCATGCAAAAGCAGCCATTGGAAATACATAAATGAATAGATATATCTGTCTTCCAATAAAAGTTTTAATAGTTCATTTTATTGTATTTCTCCATCACCATTTATGTCCCCTCTACCCTCTTCCACCTCCACCCACGCCCTGCCCCCCAGCAATCACCACCCTGTTGTCCATGTCCATGAGTCTTTTTCCCCTTTTGTTTGATCCCTCCACTGGCCACACCCCCCAAAAGCTGTCAGCCTGCTATCTATGAGTCTGTCTGTATTTTGGATAAAACAACTATGGAACATCACGCAATGGAATACTGTTTGGCTATAAAAAGGAAGAAAAAAATTTTTACCCTTTGTGACAGCACGGATGGACCTGAAGAACATTATGCTAATGAAACAAGCCAGCCAGAGCAAAACAAATACCTTACGATCTCACTCATATGTAGAATGAACAAACTGAACTAACAATACGACTTTATTTACAAAAACAGTCAATGCGCTGTATCTAGCCCATAGGCCATAGTTTGCTGACCTCTACTTTATACCGCAAAAAAAACAGCTGGTGGAGAAAAGTTACCATGTCCAACAGTAAGAAAATGTATAAATAACTTTTGAAAGGCCAGTTCAGCTATATGAATCAAAAATTAAACTGTGGCCCTAACTGCTGTGGCTCAGTGGGTTGGGCATCATCCCACAAACCAAAAGATCACCAGTTCCATTCCCAGTCAGAGTGCATGCCTGGGTTGTGGGCCAGGTCTCAGACTGGGGATGCATGAGAGGCAGTCAATCGATGTTTCTCTCACTCTCTTTCTCCCTCCCTTCCCTTCTCTCTAAAAATAAATAAAATCTTTTTAAAAATTAAACTGTGAATATTCTTTCAACATAACAAGACCATTTCTGAGAATTTATACTAAGGATATATTTAGGAAAGGACATAAAAATGTGTACACATGGCCCTGGCTGGTGTAGCTCAGTGGATTGAGTGTGGGCTGCAAACCAAGGGGTTGTCGGTTTGATTCCCAGTCAGGGCACATGCCTGGGTTGCAGGCCAGGTCCCCAGTGGGGGCCACATGAGAGGCAACCATGCATTGATGTTTCTGTCCCGCTCTTTCTCCCTCCCTTCCTTCTCTCTAAAAATAAATAAAATCTTTTTGTTAATGTGTACACATGGATATTTATTATAGTGTTATTTGTAAAAAGAAAAAATATCTAATGACATAATCCATGTCTACAACAAACAGATCAATTGTTAAATTTTTTTATTTATTGATTTTAGATACAGGAAGAAAAGAGAGAGAGAAGAGGAGGGAGAGGGAAAGGAGGGGGTGAGAGACAGAGAGAGAGAGAGAGAGAGAGAGAGAGAGAACACATCAATTTGTTGTTCCACGTATTCATGCGTTCAACCATTGCTTCTTCTATATGCCCTGACTGAGAATTAAAGCTGTAGCTTTGGCAGATCAGGACAACTCTCTAACCAACTGAGCTACCCAGCCAGGGCTGAAATAGGCTGAAATACATCACTTTTAAAAAGATGTTATTTCTTTATTTTTAGAGAGGGGAAGGGAGGGAGAGAACGAAGAGAAACACCAATGTGTGGTTGGCTCTCGAGTGTCCCCCACTGGGGACCTGGGCTGCAACCCAGGTATGTGCCCTGACTGGGAATCAAACCAGCAACCCTTTGGTTTGCAGGCCGGCACTCAATCCACTGAGTCACACCAGCCAGGGCTGAAATACATCATTTTTTAAAGCAGATGACAGAACAGTGTGCATATCAGATAATTTTTAAGTATATGGGCATGCAATGAGGTTATACATATATACTCACAAATGGGGGAGAAACATGGAAAGATACATACCCATTTGCTTTCTACAGGTGGACTTACAGGTAACATTCTTCTTACTTTATGCATGTTATTTTTGCTCTTTTCTATTTCTCTACTGAGCTTGGAAATGACTTTTTTCACTTTTTAAAAGAAGTCAGCAAACAAAAAAGAGAACCAGTGATGCTCTGAACAATTTACTCTTAGTTCTATGAATTTTAAAGAAGCCCATATACAATATCCTCCTCAAACAAAGCATATCAATAACGATTTTAATCGTTCCTTAGTTGTTATCATTCATGTGTAAATTGATACACATTTAATTTTCATGCACTTAAAATCTTGGGAAAGAAGAGGAGATGGACAAGAAAAATGATGATCCTTGTAACTTCTCAGAAATTCTTTGGAGGTATGACTGGACACAAGTTATATGGCGTAACTCACAGTTACCAAAAAGAGAAAAAAAAACTTTTGCCTTCTCAAAACAACAACCTTATCTGGCTTGGAAATCTACTAATTTCCCTCATGAAGTGGCTTTCTCCAATAGCTCAGCATAAAAATTCGATCCATTGCAAAGAGAAGATCTTCTAGTAAAATACATTTTCAACGTCTGAAGTGTGTGTGCACACACATATTTGAGTATGGGCATGCATGTACACGTGAGTAAGTGTCGTTGCTAAGAGAGGCCATGGGAAAAAGATGGTCTCCCCAGAGCCAAATTAGAAGTCAACAGGAATAATATGACAAACACAAGGTCATCCAGAGTTCTCAAAAGTGATGTCAAACAACGATGAGGTGTTAAAAATATTCTAGAAGCCATCAAAATGTAGGACACAATGAGCAAGTGGTGAAGTGTGCTCTGAACACAAGCGACTAATAAGCACACTGATATAACATGGTTTTCATTAACTATTCCTTTGCTCCCAATCTCAATCACATGCTATGTATCTTTCAGTAGCAGAAATCACTATTGTCAAACATGAGCATAATGACCCACACTAAGCCTGTGTTGAGATTGAGCAGATTGGAATTCCACAACCTTCCTTTCAATCTTCCATTTTTTTAAATCTTCAACATAAATTCAGTATAGCTAAGAAGTGAACAGTCATGCTTCAAATTCAAAATTATGTTTTTCTTGTCAAATACTGCTCTCTGTAAAGGGCATCACCAAACCCCAGTAGAAACTTACCCTTCAACTTGAGGTCGACATTATGTCTCAGCCAAGGATAAACCCCATAGCTTGGCATATCTTCAGGAATTGGGTTACTGCTTATCCAGCCATCACAAGCAAACCGGAAAAAATTATCACAAGGGTCCACAGACGGATTTACTTTACTCAAGATGGCAGCAGCTATTTAAAAGGAAAATCATAGGATTAATGACAATCACTAAATGTTGTGTGCTGGCCTCTTCCAAATTAAACATCAGTTTCTTATCAACCAATTCCTAAGCCTTTTCTTTTACATTTCCCCTTAAAAGACTCCCTGAATCAACTGCACCATACCCAGTTACCACATTCAGAGCGTGTTGGTTGAAAGTTTGCTATTATTGCTGTTAGGTTTTACAGGACCACTCCTAATAATCTTTGGGACATAGGACAGGCATACAAGTGGAGTATATGCTAAATTGTTTGCAAAGGTGCATGTGACATTTCTTTCCAGCCCTCTCATCCTTCTGCAAGGTGATTTTGCCACTCTTCCCATCGAATGGTAGGATCTATTCCCCCTGCCTTGAATCTGGACTGGCCTTGTGACTTCCTTCAACCAACAGAATGTGACAGCCTAAATCTTAACAGGCCTTGCATCCTCCATGTTAACTCCCTTTGACAGTGACCAGATGGGAGAGGGGAGGGAATTTCAGGGAAAAGGGGAAGGGTTTGCAGGAACAAGTATAAAGGACACATGGACAAAAACTAGGGGGGAGGAAATGCAAGGGAGGTGGGGAGGGCTGGGGGGTAGGCTGGGATGAGAGTAAAAGGCAGAAAACTGTACTTGAACAACAATTAAAATAAAATGAAATAAAATAAATAAATGGAACTCCCTTTGAATGGAGCCCTGCGACTGCCCTGGAGGAGGTGAGGCCACATGGAGAGGAACCAGGCCGGCACCAACTACCAGACTGAGGCCGTCATGGACTTTCTAGGCCAGGCAACCCTCCAGGTGAATGCAGCCCAGCAGAGGAACCCCCACTGAAACCACAGAATCATGAGAAATATTAAATCACTCTTGTTTCAGGCCTCTAAAGTTGGTTTATCCCACAACAAAGGCTAACTGAAACAGAAGCCCAATGTCATATCTAAAGATTTAAAAGATATATTTACAATACACCTTCATAAAGACCTAGAAGGCCAGGTGTGAATCCTCAAGCCGCTTGACATTCAGAGCAGCTCTCAGGGTAGTGAACTCACCTATGAGACCCACACAGTCTGTGAAAGGAGGCATGGGAGTAGCTAGCAGGGAACTCTGGGCTGTAGAAGGCTGCTACTTGGCCCAATAGACTTCTTGACTAGGGAGGAGGGCAAAGTGGGGCATTCTGAATGACGGACCAAAGGCAGAGGCCTCTCCTCCCCAGGTCTAAGAGCACAACTGAGTATTTGTGTAAAGTGAACAGAAAAATACAACAGACTGATGTGGCATTTTTCCCCTTTCATAAGCCCACACACAATTACATATGAAAGCTTAAAAATAATCTTTCATTACAAAATGAGAAGGTTCTCAAATTCCCAACATTGAACTCCAACTCTCTTCCAACTGTCATACAATTGCTGGCTACCACTCTAGCGCTGAGATATGCGCCAACTGATTTGTTTTCAAAGACAGCCAATATTTTAATGATATTGGAAAGATGACATCCTGGGTAGTTTTCATACTCTAATTAATGCCAGAATACATTTCTATTCAAAGTAATGAAAACCCAATGAGTTTTCAGCTAAATTTGAATAAATTGTCCCCAAAAGTATAATCTTCATAAATTTAGATACACATATTAGTTTGGTCACATATGTGGTTCCCCCAGGTTTAAAAGTAAGGCTAGATATTTCTCTTGCCTTGACTTTCCATGAAAATTTCAAAGAGCTTTCTGTCTTCAATGAAGCAAATAATATACAAACCTCCTAACTTCTATAGGACTTCAAAATCCCTACCATTTTCAAACTCCCCAAAAAAGGAACAAAGAAAAAAAATGGTTTAGAAGTCAGATAAATTTAAAATTGGCTTTATATTTTCATCTTTCAGAATGTGGTTGTCTCCAATTACATTTTTACTTACTGCTACTGTTTCATGATGATTTAATATGCAAATACGGTATGCTAGGTCATAAAATCTTCATTACAGCTTGTACTTATAGTTATACTGGCTGTGCAGCCACAGAATGAATATGCTATGTAACACCTCAGGGTCATTGATCATGCACGTTTCCGTCCCACACAGTATTTACACTCACACAAAGGAACCCTTACACACATTTTTATTCACATAAGCACATTGTTTTCTGGATGCCTCCCAACTGTCAAATGTATCCTTCCCCATCTCCTCAATATTCTTGCAGGTACCTAGGAAAACTGCAAGGTCAGCTCTGACCTCGGCCCTGATATAAAGTGGAGGAATACATCACTCACACTGAATTTGGAACTGAGCCCGCTGAACAGGAAAACTCTAGCTTCAGCCTCCCAATTCATCATTCACAATTCACAGCTGGGCACCGAGCTGCACTTTCAGAAAGGGAACTGTGACTCCAAATTGCAAGGGACCATAGCTGTCAAGACACCAAAACTCTCTTCCCCTTACTCAGCTTCATGGAGAAAATCCAGAGAGTCTTGTTTCAATAAGAGAAATATGATGATGAAGGAAACCTGTTCTATGTATTCTCTCAAATCACTGCATATAAGGTAAATTATTACATGGTTTCCAATTAGTGTTTATGTAGTAGAGGGGGCGGTATACCCGGTATACCAGGCTGTTTGTAAGTTTAATGAGGGCTGAAGAGAGAGGAGGAAGGTGTTAATAAATATTGGGCATTTCCTCTGTGCCAGAACTATGCTAGCCCTTTTCAGGCAGTATGGCATCATCGCAGACTCCAGAGCCAGACCACCCTGGTTTGAATGTCAGCAATACCATGCAATAGCTATGTAACCCCAGGCAGGTTACTTAACCTCTCTATGTCTTAGTTTTCTCATTTGTAAAATGGAGATCATAATAACACCCCATAGGATTTTCATGAAAATTAAATGAGTAAATACATGTAAAGTGCTTAGAACAGTGCCAGGAACACTGCCAAATAATACAGTTGCCAGGTACAATACAAGGTGACTAGTGAAATTTGAATTTCAGACAAATGACTACTTTTACAGTATAAGTTCACACCAAATATTGCATGGGACACTTATACAAAAAAAAAGTAGTCATTGTATGTCTGCAATTCAAATTTAACTGAGCATCCTGAATGCGTGGGTGTAGCTAAATCTGGGAACCATGCATGTACATTTTCAGTAGTATTATAGTTTCACAAACACTTAACTGAAACTTGAGGCCAGATACTTCAGACCTCATAGATGTTGAAATTTTAGAAAAGTAATACAGTGCATATAGCACAGATTATATAATGCCTCCGGCAACATCTGGAGTGGCACTCCTAAAAAAAGCACATTAATAATTCTATTGGGACTATATACATATTCTCATAAATAAGAAAAACAAAGTCTAAAACAGCCTCACATAAGTTAACGTCCAGTTTTGCCACCACAGGAGTTGCGGTCAGGTCCAATCTTACCAAGAGTTACCATGCTTTCTGGGTTTGGGGTTAAGGATCTGGAATTGTAGACCTGGGATACTACACCACCATCATTTTCTTCTAGTCTCACAACTAGCATGTCAGGTAAAAACTGTTCTTCTCACTCTATGACTGTGAAACTGAGACTTTAGATGGCTATGATCACATGGCTTGTAAGTGGCCAAATCCTGCTAAAAACCCAAGCCAGACTGTTTGCCCTTATCCAGCATTAACATACCTGTTCCTTTCATTCTTCTTCTCTTCGTTCTCCACTTCCTTTTTAATGATTTTATTTATTTATTTTTAGAGACAGGGAAAGGAAGAAGAAAGAGAAGAAACATCAATGTGTGGTTGCCTCTGGAGCTCCCCCTACTGGGCACCTAGCCTGAAACCCAGGTATGTGCCCTGACCAGGAATCAAACCAGCAATCCTTTGGTTCACAGCCCACATTCAATCCACTGAGCTTCCCCAGCCAGGGCTCCACTTCTTATTTTAAAAGAGGGGTTAACATAGGAGGAAGTGGTAAAGGGGAGGAAAAGAGACATACATAGGAAACATCTTAGAGAGGGTCCACCAGCCAATCACTTTCTAGCACGCAGTGCCCACACACGCACGTGGCAACCACACATGCATGCACGCACACAGCGCATGTGCCGGCATGCTGGCATGCACAAAGCACCCATGCATGCACGCACGCACACACGGCACAGATACACACATGTGGGACCATGCATGCACACACTCCAGCATACACAATGCACTCAGGCACGGTGCACGCAGGATCACAGTCAGCACGTGGCGCCACCCAAGCACTCACCCACAAGACACCCACGCATGCGTACAGCACGTACGCAGGCATACTGGCACGTACAAGGCCCCCACGCACACACGCACGCATGCACAAGGAACCCACGCACGAGGTGCGCACGCAGGCATGCACGCACGCACACGGTGCGCACGCAGGCACGCACGCACACACCCGGTGAGCGCGCAAGTACACTGGCGTACACAAGGAGCCCATATACGCATGCGCTCAGGTACGCACAAAGCAGGTACGCACACAAGGTGATCGTGCACGCACACAGCATTGTTCTGGACTTTCTTTTCGCTGCAAATTGTGCGATGTGCAGTCTGCAGCTATTTTGCAGAGCCCTGTGCGTAGTGGGGTTCACATTACACTAGAGGACTGTATCTTTGGTGAGTCTTTCACCACAGAAACAGCAAAAATATTTTTTTTCAATATTAGAAAGCCATTCTCCAACGTGAAAATTAAAAACAAGATGGCAAGGCAAAACACACTACCTGGCAATATGTGAAATATTATGTAAGTTTTACGCTTGCCTCATTATGATTCATTATAAAAAGACAAAATTCATGAAATAAGTGGCCCTCTGTACGAAACGTTGACTAAACTCAAAATGAAAATGTGTGCGTTCAAAAATTTCATTTTCACACATCTACAAGAACCTTACCACAGCAAAAGCACAAGGTGACATAAAGTCCAAAACCCGGCCTCATAGTCCAACCTGATGCCCCACCCTATTCGAGGTCATTCTCTCTCCTCCGGAGAAAAGCCTAGGTCAGCTCAAGCTGGGAACAGGAAAAGGCCTGGAAATTATATTTTTCTTGCCCTTCAGAGACAAGATCAAGAAGCTGAAAAGGTTGCCTAGTCACTCGACTCTAGTAGATCTAGTATTATGATAAAAAGAGCAAGACAGGGCAAGGATCAAAGAGAGGTATCTGGCATGGTGTTGTGGCACTAAGGGACAAATGCAGAAGAGCCAGGCATGAGTGTGAAGTCCAGCGGTGCTGCTAACTCAGGATGTGACCCTGGGTGAGTTAGCTTCTACAAGCCTACATTTTCTCATGTGTAAGTGAGCCTGGTGATAGCACTGACTTCATGGGGTTCTTATGTAGATTTTATAAGATGGCACATGTAAGTCACTTAACACATTTCCTGGTTAAAAAATATATATATAAATATATTAATAAGAATGGAACAAAAAACACTAATAACATAATTATCTACCCCATTACCTTTGCATAAAGCCTCAGTTTTAAAGCTCTTCCACCTAGGTCTCTCCCATCTCAATAAATGCCACCAATCAACCACCACCAAAAATCTAAGCATCACCGTGCTCTGCATCTTCTCACAGCCCGCATACAATCTTTCAGCAAACCCCCCATCTCCTAAGCACTCTAATCTCCCTTTCCATCTCTTGAATTCAAGACAGCACCACCTCTCACCTGGCTCACCAAAATAACCTCCTGACCCAGCAACTTCATCCATTTTTACTCCCTCTAGGCTCTTCTCCATGCAGAAAGACTTTCAAAGAGTAGCTCTCCGAAGAGAGAGCCAACCTGGCCATCCTGTCACTTGCTATCACACCATTCTATTTTAATATTTTGATTTTCTGCATAACATGTATCACCAGCTGATGTTTTCCTTGTGTACTGATTGCATTGTGTGTTTGTTAATTGTCTGGCTTCCCTTACCTGGTCATTCTGCTTCGCTGCCGTACAGGCAGAGCCCAGAGATCCTGCAGGTTGGGTTCTGGACCGCCACAATACAGTGAGTGGTGCAATAAAGTGAGTCATAATATTTTTGCTGGTGGAGGGTCTCACTTTCAATTTGTAAAAAAAAAAAAAATGCATGCCCTGGCTGGCATAGCTCAGTGGATTGAGCTCGGGCTGCAAACCAAAGCATCGCAGGTTCGATTCCCAGTCAGGGCACATGCCTGGGTTGCAGGCCACAGCCCCCAGCAACCGCACATTGATGTTTCTCTCTCTCTCTCTTTCTCCCTCCCTTCCCTCTCTAAATAAATAAATAAATAAATAAATAAATAAATAAATAAATAAAATGCAACATCTGTGAGGCACAATAAATTGAAGCTCAATAAAGTGAGGTATGCCTGCATTCCCAAAACCTAACTCAGTGCCTGGAGTGCAATAAATATTTGGTGAATTAATCCATTAATCTCTTTAAGGCCAACAGGAAAGTTAAAGGGTCATGTGCTTAACTTATCCTACGGCTTTCTCTTTGGAAGACACAGTAGTGTCCCTGTCCACCTGAAGAATGGGGATAGGGGCTGGAACCTGGGTCCTGTAAATCTAGGCCCTAACACTGGCTTATGGGGGAAATCTAATAGCTATGACAAAACTGAGACAACTTTAAGCACCCAGCTTCACTTGAGCGAACCCACTGCTATACGGCCAGATCACCTCAAGAAAAATTTGACTTGTAACATGGATTAGAAGGACCCAAAGGGATTCCAGGTTACAGTGGAATCATGAATGTACAGAGGGTCCCCACTTAGCTGCAAACAGTTCAGACCTACTAACCAGAAGATTCAGAAAGACTGCTTAAGATAAATAGGAATCTATATGCAGTTGAGGCCATTGGAAGGTCAATGGTCTCTGTCTTTGGGCCTTAAGGGAGGCCATTCAGCCTTCCAAGTCCCTTCCTGATTTCCTTATACAGGAATACGCTGGCGTCTTCAGAGGGAGGTTTCTTTCTTTTTATTAAGTTTATTGGGGTGACATTGGTTAATAACATTACAGAGATTTGAAGTGTTTTTATTGCACTTTGTTTTATTGCTCTTCACAGATGTTGCGTTTTGTTTTGTTTTTACCAACTGAATGCAAGACCCTCCACCAGCAAAAAGATTCCTACTCACTTCTTGCAATACTCGCTTTATTGCGGTGGTCTGGAACTGAAACCGCAATATCTCTGAGGTCTGCCTGTAATGACTTGGAATACCGCATGGCTGTTTTTTTGCAAGGAAAAAGAAAACAGGAAACCTGCGCTCCACGACTTCACACCAAGACTTGAAAGTAAACTTAAAATTTCATCAAAATTGCATTTCATACTTGGTAAACCTCAAGCAAACAGAATACTAAAAATACCACCTGTTTTCTCTTCCACTCCCCAAGGTACCATAATTATAACTTGACACAGGATGGAAAACTGACTTACCAGCTTCGATGCATTCTGGCTTCAGGCAGTACTCCTGTTTAGCTTGGAGACTTAAGAAACCTTGACTCACTGAAAAAACAGACCAAAATAAAGAAATGACTGGCTTGAAGCAGACCACCATCAGGTAACCCACCATCAGGTAACGCACCGTCAGGCACATATGCAAGACATTGGACATCAGTTCATGCTTCTCAGTACTGACACAGAATTCAAAAACCCAGTGGGCTCAATATCACAGAACCAGACTCTGGTTTCTAGCTGTGTAACCTTGGTGAGGCTCTTGGTTGCTCTGAAACTCAGTTCTCTAGAACATAAGATGAGTGGGGACAATTGGACCAGTGCTTCCCTGGGCAGTGGCAACAGCATCACCTGGGAGCTTGTTAGAAATGCAAATCACTGAGCCCTGCAAACCTGAATCAGAAATGCTGGGATGGGGTCCATCCATCTGCATTTTAACAAGCCCTCCAGGCTCACATTTGAGAACCAGTGGGCTAGAAAATCTCTAGTCTCTTCCATTTCCTATTATATGCGATTTAAGCCTCATAATTTTACTTTTTGTTTGCAACTACATTCTTGTGTTAGTGATGGGAAAATTGAAACTTATGTCATGTGGAGCAAATCCTGAGGGAAAGGAGAAAGCTGACACGTGGCGTTTAAAGTTCTGGATCTTCTCTAAACCATCCACATCGATAAGGCCTAGAAGGGGCAGTAGGTAATACACAGGGTCTGACAGAAGTAACGCCTGCTTGAGTGTGATTGGTAGGGGAATAATATGGATGTGATGATTTATAGTTTTAATTTGAACATGTCACCTAAAATGTCATATGGTGTGCTTGAGTGTGATATTGTTATGTTATGGAATTACATGCTTATGATTTTATAATAAAAGATTTTGTAATAAAAAGGGCATTATTTCTGTCAGACCCTGTATATTGTATTTAACTCAATCATCTAGCAAGATAGTCATTATCTGCTTGCCCTGTACCCCACACACCATCCTCCCTCCAGACCCAGCCTAGCAACCAGACAGATGCAACTCCATGGACCAAGCTTCCAACTACTTCCACCAAGACAACAAAACAGAACAAAACCCAGGAGGATGGAAGCAGCTTTTCACCAATAGCTTCATTTCCCCCATCTGGTGCAACATTATCTAAATGGATTTCTGCAGGAATACAGAACGGTGCCCCATTTGTAACCTCCAGGTAGCACCTGGGCATTAGCAAATGTGAGTTGAGATTTCAAAAATATTTTTGGTAGTCAAGGAAATTGTGGAGAAACCATCATCACTGTACTCTGTGGGCAGAAATAAGGAATCATTCGAAGATGTGGCCATGGGGGCATGGATGGTGGGGGCGGGGAGAAGGGGGAGCCAAGGTCTTTCCTGGCATCCTCAACTGAGAAGCAGGATCAGAAAGCGCGGCAGTACCTACATTTCTGCTGGAGATGGAACGCCTGTACATCACTTGCCAGGGTGGCAATTTGTATTATTTATTAACCCACATTCTAAGAGGAACCGGCTTTTCTTTATTCTTACCTCTGCTGCCATCCTCCAAAGAGCCTTTTACTTGTGTTACACTATAGATTCAAAAAACTGCCTATGGAAAATCTCAGGCCTATTTTAAGAAATAGTATCATAGCATAAAGGTGCGTTTTGATTTCTCTAAAAGGCAAAGAAGAAAAGTTAGGTAAAAATATATCTGTGCAGTGTGTAAAGATTAGTACTGAATATTTCAGTGTGCCTGGGTGGTGGAACCATGGAGGAAATTTTCCCTTTGGTCTACTTACATATGTTTACCAAATGTTCTTTAATGAGCATGTGTTATTTTTTATAATGCAGAAATAAACTTTATTTTAAATAATAATGTTATGATTCTGGACAAAAGTTTCTTGATACCAGCCTTGTTTAATTTTAGAAAAAAGATAATGAAGTATTTACTTTGAAGACTTACTACTTTCAAGGTATAAACTTCCAGTTATAAAATAAATCCGTTATGAGAATGTAATGTACAGCATGGTGACTCTTGTTAATAATACTCCATTGCATATGTGAAAGTTGATAAGAGAGTAGATCTTAAAAGTTCTCATCACAAGAAAAAACTATATAACTATGTACGGTGATGGATCATAGTAGACTTATTGTAATTGTTTTTGCAATATATACAAATAATGGATCATTATGTTGTACACCTGAAACTAATATTATTTGTCAATTATATCTCAATAAAAAATTTAAAGATTTAGTCCTTTAGTGGAAAATAATTCTTGACCCAAAACCTATAAGGGAGCAGAACTAAACTCAGATATCTTTATCTGATGATGAGTTAAAGAAAGGTTTAGCCTGGCTGGTATGGCTCAGTGGATTCAGTACCAGCCTAAGGACCAAAAGGTTGCTGGTTTGATTCCTGGTCAGGGTACATGCCTGGGTTGTGGGCCAGGTCCCCAGATGGAGAGTATGAGAAGCAAGTGATCAATGTCACACATGGATGTTTTCTCCCTCCTTTCCCCGGTCTCTAAAAATAAAATCTTTTTAAAAAAAAGATTTAAATTAAGTAATTAAGATGGAAACAGACCCAACCCCTAAGGAAGAGCATTATATCCATGGTGGGGCGGGGGGGGGGGGGAATTATCTTAAGACCCTGCAAGTAAATAAGGGTCAACAAGCCCAGATAATGTGAAGGTGTACGTGAATAAAGTAGAGACAACAAAGAAAATCTTCTTCATACAGGAAATGAAAATGTTAGTTTTTACTGATTAGGAGCTTTTAGAAAATTTAAAGAGCAGTTTGGTTTCTCATTTTGGATTCCTCTATAACCAGCAGAAATGACCTCAGAGCGCAGTGGAGTCATCCACAGATGGAGAGCATGAGAGTGATTGACATAAGCAGGGTCAGCAAGCATGGCCTGTGGGCCCAGCTAGTCCACTGCCTGTTTCTGTATGGCCCACAAGCTAAAAATGGTCCTTAACATTTTGAATGATTGTCACAAAACCAGTTAAAATGGAATAATATTTTGGGACACGTAAAAATGATCTGAACTTCAAATTTCAATGTCCAGAAATCAAATTGTACCAGAACACAGCCGTGCCCTTTGTATACATATTGTCAGTGGCTGTTTTTGTGCTACAACAGAGTCGAGTAGCTGCAACAGAGACAGTATGGCCCGGGGAGCCAAAAATATTTGCTATCTAGCCCTTTACAAAGAAAACTTTGCCAATCATTGCATTTGAGAAACAGATCCTAGGGAGAAAGGGTGGGGGAAGAGGGAGGAGGAAAAAGGAGACTTCAAGATAATCTGGTTATAGGCATATTGTTATACTTGACATCTTAACTCCTAGTGCTCTAAGTTCTCTGAGACCACCCCGAGGCCTGTGGCAATCCCTCTTACTGTAGAAGGACTAAGGTTGAGAAAAGAGATTATTACCCTAGAGCCTAAAACACAAAGAGGTAAAGAGAAATGCTACAAATTGCAGACATGTGACTGAACTTGAACAGGCAGAAGAATATACCACAAAGTCAACCTGGAAGCACCTTGAAGAGAAGAGGACCTTAACTAGAATATTGTCACAAAGAGCATTGCCTAACAGGTCCCAGGGGATTTTCAGACAAGGACTTCGCTGGGTACAGGGTGCAGGTGGGGGGCAGAGCCTGCAGAACTAGGTAATGAAAAGGGTGGGGGAACAGAAGGAGTCTGAAATAGTGCAGAGATGTTTCAAAAAATATCATTTATTTTTAATTTGAGAGTGTAAATATATTTTAAAGCAAAGCAAGTGTCTCTGAAGGTATGCATCCAAATGGATGTGGTCACCTGAAGCAATGCTTCTCAAACTTTAATTTGGTGAAAATGCAGATTCTGCATCAGTGGGGCTGAGGTGGTGACGAGCAGGCTTGCAAGTGATGCTGATGCTGCTGGTCCACGGACCACACTTTGAGTAGCAAAGGCATAAAATGGTCACACCTAAATTCATTAGAGCTCCTCTTAAAGATTCACGGTGAGAGCCAGGTTATTGGGCACACTGAAAAGTCACTTTTTTTCTATTACATGCAGACCTCCTTACCCATAACAGCATTGACTGGCTTGGTGAATTTTCCTGTGCTCTAAAAACTTCAGAGGTAATCCCAAAGAATCATATTCTCTCAAAGAACAAAGATTTGCTGCCATCAAGAATATTCCAACTAATACGCTACAGCCTCGGAATGTAATCATAGCAATGGAATTCCAAAAAAGTTCAAGCAGCAGTAACATCATTAAAAAAGAGTACATATGGTAACATAAACAATCATCATTTGGATTTTTAGGTTGGGAGTGTTTTCAAAATACAAATAGTGTAACTTTGTGGTCACGTCCCACATGGTATATAGTGCCTTACCATGCCCTTATCATTTTTCCTCCAGGTTTGAATTTTTGGATAGGACACTTGCCTAAAACCCAGGTGCCAAGAAATCTCATAACAGTTTACAAGAGCCACGAATTTGGTCGCAGGAGTAGGAGGTTTAACTGTACCAGAAAGCTATCAACCCATCTAATTCCCTTACATTTTCAGCCACAGAAAACATGGAAAGATGGTTTGCTCGTTTTAGCAGAGTTTTCAACCATACAACCCTAACTCTTTTAAACTTTAATTACTGGTTTTCCCCTGCCAAGATAAACATGGTCTCCTGCATCCTGTATATGCCAAGGAATGTTTCCAGGCATGCTCCATTTCAAACTGCACCTAGAATCTCCTAAGTATAGTGCTTGGTCCCACACAACTTTCAAACTAATGAAATTGTACAGGCCATATGAGAAAAATACAAAGGCTGATTGTCAAGGGTTCAAAATGCCTACAGTCTTTCCAAGGTATCTCATTTTTTTTCATGGAATATGTTTTCATCAACACATATTCTCCCTGGGTACCTTATTCTCACCAAGAGTTATTAAAATAATTGAATCACTATCCTTTTCAAGTCTTGGAAGAAAACTTGTTTTCCTTCATATCAATTTCTAAATCTAATGGAAAGGTCAAGTTAAAATTTTATCCCACCACAGTCACTGGATTAGAAAGGAATCGAAGAATATCATTAAAGGTGCATTTAAAAAATGAATTTGTATTTTGTGAGTTAAATTTCATGATTCATCCAGGCAGAATTGACAAAAATCAAATGGAAAGAAATTCCAGCACGGTTCTGATCACAGTGCAAGTCTTTCCTCACAAAATAAATGAAAGTATCTGACTATGAATTCATAAATGCTCATTTTGCTAAATGTAATGCATAAAAACAATGTTTGCCCGGTGTAACTGAATCCTCCCGCCACTTGAAGCCAGTTTATACCCACTTCGCATTCTACACTATGCACGGTGTACTTGCATGTATTTATTTATTTAGCCTTCTAAAGAAAAGGCTTCCTCTATTTGCATATTTAATAGAAACTAAGGATGCACCCCCTCCAACACAAGCAAACAGCCCTCCACCTGCATCCTGACAAGGTCTGACAGAATGAAGCACAAAGAGATTTCACTGCACTTGCCCAGCTCCCTCACTTCCAGCGTCCCACTTACCTAGAAAGAGGACGGTGCCCAGCACCAGGGTGCTACCGATGAACACCACCAGGGCGATTCGAGTGCCTCTGTTGGCCACTTTCCCAGTCTCCATGCTGCTCCCCGTTTCTGCTTCCATCGGGGAGGATGTGGAGGCCACGCCAGAAAAGAGTCACCGTTTGTGGTTTGTTGGCTGGTCTCAAGAATCTGTTAGGTGTTGACATCCAAAGTACTCTTGCTCTTCTACTAATGGGCAGCTTTAAAAAGTCCCATCAGGAAATATCCCCTTGCCACCCCTTCTCAAATAGTTCTTCGCAAATGAAGTAAAAGAAACCCAAAATATTGGTTGCCTTGGCTTTCCCCCTGACCAGACAAAACAAACACTGGTTGCTTTATCTTGGTGTGCCCCCCCCAGCAAAGTCCCTCTCAAGCGATTGTTTGGCAGGCTCTTCTCTCAGGCGTTCCGGGTGTACATGTTTTACTGTGTTGCTGAACAGATGTTTTAGCTATTTAAATGTATAGTCACTTGGGGAGGAAAAAACAATTGTCTTTATCAAAACTGGATTCTCATCAAATGCCCCCTGACCATGATAAGTTAGGTGGCAAGGATTCTCCAGACTCACTTCAAGATCGCAAGGAATCATGTAATTCTTCTTGCAATAATCATTCTGCGCTCCTGAATTGTCTTCATCAAAGATATTCTTTCAGTGAGCAAGTTCCTTTTTAAAGCCTTCTAAGAGTTCCTGGGATATCCTGGAGCATTTTATTTTAGGAACTTTGTGTATGACAGCATGTGCCAAAAATCAGAGTCATAGTCCAGTGCAGTGCAAAGTAGCAATTAAGACAACCTACAGAGGCTGACGGTTTGGACTGGAACTTTTTATTTTAAGGAGGAAGGAAAAAAGCACGACCTGTCTGCAGTGCTAAGAATTGTACAAAAGACAGGTAAGTTTTCAAATTAAGCATATTAGCAACCAAGAAAAATATGGTAAAAGATTTCTGTGCCCTGCATGGATTGATGAAAAATGTCCCCCATGTATTTTGTCCTCTTAGTCCCACAGAGGCAGCCATTGGTTACTACATTGTTGTGTTTACATAAAGTACCCGTTTTGGCAGATTCCCCAGGATAAATTCAAAGGCAATTGGTTTCATTGGAAAGACTGATTAATGGCTGGATCTTTGATTTCTTTTATTAAGCTAAAGTTTTAAGTTACAAAAATCTGCTTTCTTCCTGGGAAAGGGCAACCAATATTCCAATGCTTTTGAAATGACATACATTTTATAATCTGATTACAGAGATGGGTACAAGTAGGTTTACAGTTGTGAGTATATAAGAAACAGAATTTATTCTTGTATTACTAATTAATTATGATATTGTCTGTTATTATTACGAAGCTACTTTTCCCACCCCTGTATATAGATATCATTAATTCACAACACAATTATTACTTACCTGTTCTTGTCTTACTGGAGGTCATAAGAAAGTGGGACTGAGAAGTGGAGAATTCAGCTACATCGAAAAACCAGTGGAGCATTTTTCTCGTACAAAATTTGTGCCTGTGGGCCTGGAGGTCACATCAGAGCTCAGTAGAGACTGATGAGCCTGGAATAATGTGGCCCCGTGTTCATGGTCTTATCTGGCTGATCCCAGACAGGCTTTAGACCCTTAGCATAGGATTCTCCCAAGATTTTGAACTTATTTTATAACATCCTACCTTCTTACTGTCTGCTCAGTGCATGTTGCCTCAAAGTCAGAAGAGCATAACCCTTGTCCAAATTATATCATAGCATGTATAGATATTATGTGCTCTTTGGCTGTTGATTTATATATTTTTTGTTATTCTAGAACATATCCTAGCAGGCCTTAGTCTCCTAGGTTGTTCTTCCAAGAGCTTTTGGATTTGACTCCACAATGCTTCTTAGACTGTGAGTTCCATGAGGTCAAGGATCATGTCCATCAAGTTCAGCGCTGCAGCTCCAGCATCTACAATTCCTCACCCATAACACCAAAGGGAGAAATAAGAGCAATGAAATTCATCCAAGTTAGTCCTAGCTATTTGTTCTTAAAAAGCAGCTTCAGGAAGCTCAGATGCTAGTAGCTGGGGGGTTTTCAGCCTCCTAATTCCTTCTAAATGCTCAAATGATAATGATAGGTCACAGGGGCATAGCACTTTCATATCCCCTGTTAACCTCAGGGCAAACCCATATACTTGATAACAAGGGTATTTTTATCTCTGGTTTACAAATGAAAACACTGAGGCCCGAGGACCCAGAAAATGGAAAACTGGTGAGGAGGACCACTGTCACACATATGCTCCAAACCTCCTCACACACTGTGGGTGCAGAGTGACCTGCAGTGGAGGCCATGGGCTGCCAGCTGGCATAGCCTCTACCCTCCTTAGACTGGCAATTTCCCCACAGGTAAGGGTACCTGGGGCTTACCCTAATGTACACCTATCCATCCCTTATCAACATGAATTCTTTTTTAAAAGATTTTATTTATTTTTAAAGATAGAGGAAGGGAAGGAGAAAGATAAGGAAACAGCATGTGTGGTTGCCTCTTGTGCACCCCTAATGGGGACGTGGCCTGAAACCCAGGCACGTGCTCTGACTGGGAACCAAACCGGTGACCCCTCAGTTCACAGGCCAGCACTCAATCCACTGAGCCACACTAGCCAGGGGCAACATGCATTCATTCCCAAACATTCAACTACTAAGTGAAAAACCATAAACCAAAAGAAAATAGTTTCCATAATTATAGCAGAAAAACTATAATGCATTCCATCCCAAACCAAGATACACAAATGCAGATAGAAAAGTATACTAATTGAACGATGAAAACAACTCTATAAAAATTATTCACAGCTTTCAAAATACTGAAAATTTGTATTGATATAATATAATATAATGAAGACTTATTTTGCTCACCACAGGAATAAAGGAAGACTTGAGATGAGGTGGGAAATGGTAGAAGAAAGGGTATGGGTGAATCATTCATTGTAAGGTGCATTCTTCATTCTGTGCCATTGTCCACATTAATTTCCAACCTTTGGGGAGATGATGATTATCTTGTATTCAAACTGCTTTTAAAAATAAAGTTGTGAGCCCTGGCTGGTGTGGCTCAGTAGATTGAGTGCAGGCCTGCAAACCAAAGGGCTGCCAGTTTGATTCCCAGCCAGGGCACATGCCTGGGTTGGCACCAGGTCTCCAGTAGGGGGCATGCAAGAGGCAACCACACAGAGATATTTCTCTCCCTCTCTTTCACCTTCCCTTCCCCTCTTTCTAAAAATAAATAAAGAAAATCTTTTTAAAAATAAATAAAGTTGTAGCACAGAAAAAAAAATCCTCCTAGGGAAAAATAGAGAAGTCCAGAACACAGAAATAATGTGTGCTCATAAAAGATGCAAGAGTCTGAATGCTATGGCACATGGGCCAAACTCAGCCCACTGCCTGTTTCTGTAAATAATGTTATATTGGAACAAAGTTATGCCCATTTGTTTACATATTATTTATCACTGCTTTCGTGCTACAAGGTCAGAGTTGAGTTGTTTTGCAACACATATAATATGGTCTGTGAAGCTTAGAATATTTACTCTCTGGCCCTTTACAAAAAGGTTTACCGCTCTGCACCATAAAAGAAACCCTCAACAAAATGAAAAGGGAACCCATTGAATGGGAGAATATATTTGCCAGTGATACACCTGATAAAGGGTTAATTTCCAAAATATATAAGGAACTTCTACAACTCAACACCAGGAAGACAAACCATCCAATTAAGAAATGGGCAAAGGACCTGAATGCACACTTCTCCAAAGAGGGCATACAAATGGCCAATACACATATGAGAAGATGCTCGATGTCACGAATCATCGGAGAGATGCCAATTAAAACCACAAAGATATATCACCTCACACCTGTCAGAATAGCTATCATCAATAAATCAACAAACAACAAGTGCTGGTGAGGATGTGGGGAAAAGGAAACCCTAGAGCACTGTTGGTGGGAATGCAGACTGGTGCAACCACTGTGGAAAGCAGTACGGGATTTCATCAAAAAACTAAAGATGGAACTACCTTTTGACCCAGCAATTCCACTGCTGGGATTATGCCCTAGGAATCCTGAAACAGGAATGAGAAACAATATATGCACCTCTATGTTCACTGCATCGTTATTACAGTAGCCAAGATCTGGAAACAGCCCAAGTGCCCATCAGCAGATGAGTGGATAAAAAAGCTGTGGTACACTTACACAATGGAATACCAAGTGACTGTGAAAAAAGAAGAAACTTTTACCCTTTGCAACAGCATGGCTGGACCTGGAGGTTACTACACTAAGCAAAATAAGCCAGTCAGAAGAAGAGAAATACCATATGATGTCACTTACACGTGGAATCTAATGAACAGAACGAACTGACAAGCAAAATAAAACCAGAGTCATGGAAACATGGAACAGACCAACAGATATCAGAGGAGAGGGGGGTGAGAGGACTGGAAGAGAGTAGCCAAAGAACATGTATGATATATGCATAGCCCATGGACACAGACAACAATGTGATGAAGGCAGGGTGGGTGGCAGGAACTGGGTGGAGGGGGGCAAAGGTGGGGAAAATGGGGGACATGTATAATAGTCTTAACAATTTTTTTAAGAAAAGGTTTACTGACCACTGGACTAAAGAGTAGTAGATAATGCTAACTGTTCACCCCACCTACATGGTGCACATAATCAAAAAGTATTCATTCACACTTGACCTGCTTCTCAGTGGCATTCCATTCAGTGTGCTCCAAAAACAAGCCATTGTGTCAGGGAAATTGGTCGATATGTTTTTGCCTGAAACCACAACATATTATTTAGTGTGTTTTGGGGGTAAAAAGTCATTATCCTGGAATACATAGGGCGAGTTGTCCAAAATTTTATAATTTCTCAAGAGCTATGGAAATTAGTTAACTGAAGTCACTATGCATATAAATCTGTTAATGATCTCACCTGCACCCACCCAACTGTTTCAATGAAGAACTGCCAGGACTACCTTGAGCCTTAACTGGAATCAATCAATGAATCAATAGAGGTTTCTTAATATTTCTGTTTCCTCACCCCGTGCAAGGTCCTGTGAGGGAAAGCGAGGAAGCCGTGCCAGAGATTCTGGACTAGTAAACTGGGCTCAGTCAT